CACCTCAAGTAAGGTTAGTGTTCTCTCTCTTCATACTGTACTGTACTGTACTTGGTTTCATATTTTTGTGGTTTAAAAAAAAAAAAAACATGGTTAAGAACGGATTAACCGTATTTACATTGAACCTTATGGGAAAATTTAATTCGGTTCGCGACCAATTCGGTTCGCGACCAGAGTTGTGGAATGCATTAAGTTTGTGAACCAAGGTACCACTGTATCATATAGGAAGTTTGTTTTTTAGCATATTAAATTAATTAATTTTTATCTATTTTAATTAATGTTTATTCTGTTTTTACTGTAAACTGCCCAGAGTCACTCTGCAGTGAGATGGGCAGTGACAAATTTGAAATATAAAATAAATAAATAAAAATATTATGACTTTTGCTAAATCTGGACATGTGAAATGGCATTTGCACAAGAGAGGAGTAAAGAAAGGAAATGAAAACCTGCAAGTCTGTAGCTTACTGCTGACATCTTAATCATGATTAAGAAAATATTATATCTATGCTTCATTAAACAAGGTAGAGTGATATGGTCTATAGATTGTTAAGTCAAAAACAAAGAAACCACATTATGGCTTAGCATTATGTGTGAACTAAGTCACACAATATCTGCCCTAATTTCTTAAAACAATTTCAGATGTCAGGCAAGGTAGGACCTATCCTTGAAAGCATAAATCACACAGACCTTTGGCCTATAATAATTAAACCAGTACTTCATATAAGAAAACTGGATGCAAGAAATAAGTATATTACCTTTATAAGGTGCTTTTTTTCAGGGAGCAATCTATGAACAGAGAGAGCAGTTAGAAGATTTTTATCTTCATAAAAAGCACTGTTACTAAACAAATTTTCAGTCCCCTTCACTTCCCATAAAGCCAGCTGAGCCCCATTCCCCTTTGCTGCTAGTTGCCATTTGTTTTAGCTACCTGTTTGAAGAGGGAAATGAAAGGCTATTCCCATTAACAATAAGAATTCTGGAAGGCTGTTATTATACTTACTCCTCAACACTTCTGTCATATACAGTCTTAATTCTTAGCTGTTCATTAATGTTTCTTTTCATAACTCGATTTTCTTTAAGATAAACTTTGTAAATAACCTGTTTGAAGAAGAAGTACATTTAATAAAACTGCTTGTATATCTAAACTTTTACAATTCTTAAAATTTACCATATTTACATTTGAACTGAAGCACGCATACAGTCCAATTGCTTTGTGTTCACTTCCTAATAAACTTAAGGAGCCTTATTCCTCAGTAACATTTGAGGAATACAGAAAGGAAGGCAAACATATTTTAATCCAATATACTATGCGTAAAAGCTTTATTTTATTCTTTGGCTGCAAAGCCTGAATCTTCTATTATTTCTCTTTTCTATTATTCACCACAAGTATTTAGGCAAGGTTTCTGAAATATATCTATGAACCAATTTTTAAATGAACATCTTTGCTTTTACAGCTTTCAAATTACTTTCTAAGTTTTTAAAATGCATCCTTGCATTTTCATAATATTTTTCTCTGAAAAGTATGTGAAATTTTCAGAAAAATAGCCTGACAAATAAAACATACTGGTGAATTGGAACCCAGCAATGAAAACTACTAGATGTAATGGGGCTTACTTCCAGGTAAGCTGGCATGGGATTATTAGTTTAACAAGCAATTTACCAAGGGCTGCATTGATGTAATGTTTTAGAACAAACAATTAAAAACACATTGTTTTAGCCATTTCTTTTGCAACCCATATGTATCATGAACCTAGAAACGATGTCTTGCAATGTGGCTCTTGTTCTATTAGTGACTGGTTTCATACACAATTTGACTCAATAATCTAAAATGAGAGCATGTGTGTGTGTGTTTATATGCATGTACCTATGTGTGTGTTTGTGCGTGTGTATGTATCTACACACACACACACACATCCCTACACATTAGGTGAATTATGATTTCTTAGATTACTTATCAGCACTTCCAAACAGACCCTCTTAAAGGTGCGGGATGGAGAGAAAATTTAAAACACAGTCCCAGATATTCAGTCAATTAAGTCACAAATACGAGGGAGCAACTCTGAATATTGCTACACTTAAACCAGCAAGTGAAAAACACACAAAAATGGAATGTATGACTTAAGCACCACACTTGAGCCCCTCTTTTCCCTTGTTCGGACTATTTTGCCTCCCTCTTCCCCCAGGATCCTCACCTCCCTGGCACTGGGGATGCGGTGGTGACAGAAGGGAGAAGCGATGTTAAAGGCTGGGCCGTGAGCCAGCAAAAGCAGCTCAGCCAAAACAAGGAAAGCCGAGAACGGTCTGGAAGGAAGGAAAACTTCCCGAACCGCCAAGGCAGCCGCCATCTTAGCCTCCTTCTTCCCGATTCCCGTATCTCCAAGGCCTGGAAGCCGGAGCGAAACCGTGCCGCTCCTGAAAGCCAATAGGAAACCGCGGACTTATGGTAGAATTAATGCTATTGGTCACGCTTCGGCACAGATGGGCGGAGGTAGAAGAAACTGGGCCAAGGGGAAGCGCAACGACGTCACGCGCAGTCTTGCCGGCGGCGGATTGCAGGCGTTGCCTGCCGACTAGTCCGATGGATTGGTGCTGAATTGGACGGGCAGAAACCCACTAGCACGGGCAACCAGGGGACTTCTTTAATACGGACAGGACAGCATCTCCCATTGTTTAGTATCCTTACTGTACTTCTGAAGTTGCTAATCCTCAAATAAATTCGATTCTGTGCTTTGCCTATCGAATGTACGTTAAAGAAAAAGAGAACACCCATGTCCCACACGTTGCAGACAGGTGGCACTCCTCCGAAGCACCTTTTCGGAATCTAATTCCAAACACTACTTCTACTCATTCGTATTATGCAACTCATTAGATGTTTTCCTAACCAGATTTTGTAGAGTATTATCTCAATTTTAATCAGATTATATCTGTACATTTTTGCAACCCATCCAGAAACATCCTTTGGTTTACAGGAAGTTTCCTCTTCACCTTCTGTTTTGAACAACAGATGTTTGAAGTGAGATTTTTTTTTAGTTGATCCTAAGTTTGCTCTTATTCTTCCTGTGCTTCAAATTTTATTTATTTATTAGCTTATTTATCAAATGTGTATACAGTACCGCTGGCTTCAACTGACTCCTGGCAGTTTACAACAGAATCATGAAATCAACAGAATAAAACAACAATAATATAATACTGTATGAATATATAAAAAGCCATGATGCCTTCTTCATCATTCATAACATTCCAAATGTCATACAGAAGAGCTCCCATCAGCAAAGGCTTTCTAAAAGATGCCAAAGGGGGCCAGCACACTCCTTTACTTCATGACTGGGGCAATCTAGATTTCTGCACCTGGGCTGAGTTCACTGGACAGGTCAATTCCACCTAGAGAAGACAGTCTAGAAGGTACAGGTGGTCCTACATTTAATGACCACTTGTTCAGGAACTCTTCAAACTTACAATGGCGCTGAACGAGTGGTAGTTATGACCAGTCCTCATACTTATGGCCATCACAGCATCCTGGCAGTCATGTAATCATGATTTGTGACTTTCCCTGCCAGCTTCTGACAAGCAAAGTCAACGGGGAAGTTGGTAGGATGTTGCAAGTTGCAGTTGTATGAGGTCCTTGCTTAATGACTTGCACAGTCCTTGCTTACCAATGGCAACTGGGACTGCTAGGACTGTTATTGCTAAGCAGGACGGTCATGTGGTTTTGGTTTTTTTTTTTAATTTATGACTATGTCGCTTAATGATGGAGTTTCTGGTCCAAATTAGCATTAAGCGAGGACTACCTGTACCTTGAAGCCAAGCTATGTAAACACTGAAACCAACACTTTGAATTATACTCAGAAGCTTACTGGGAACAAATGAATGGCCCACAACACTGATTTTATACATCCATAGTAGCTCTCACCCAGCAGCATGGAGGCCACTGCATTCTGCACTAATTGCAGCTTCTGGATGGTCTTCAAAGGCAGCCCCTTTGTTTTGACTGTCTCAATCATGTAGTGTTACATTCTATACAAATAACTGAATTGTTTGCATATCTTTGAGGGTCTTCTTTCTTTCTGTCTGGGATCTCCATGTCTGGACATACTCCTCCATAGCCAAAACCCAGGTATTTGAATATTGTAACACATGTTGTTCAGTGAGGAAGATCCCCTCCATTTCTTCCCTGGTATCTCTTTTAAGCTCTAATGGGCAGACCGTGCTGACTCCTTTTTCTTTCTGTTCTTTTTTCTTACAGATACTTTCATTCTCTCTGTCATTTAGGATTGGCCCAGAAAAAAAGAGTTACAGAATTCAAAGCTAGAAATTATTTGTTTATTTCACTATTTTTCTAAATAATTCCTAGTATTCTATTCTAAACAGAAGTTACTCACCTTAGAATCTCTAGGAGAGAGACAAAGAGCTTTCCCCAGTTCTTCTGGTGAACCCCTGGTTTTTTTTCAGACTGCATAAATTGTTTCCTCTGAGCAGAGACAAGACTTTTGGTGCTCCTGGAAAATAAGTAAGAAGAATAAAGGAGACGTAAGAAAAGTGGGCATAAATAAGGGAAAGGAAACTAGTAGGCAGAGAAGGGATGTTGATTCATATTGGCTGTCATGCAGTGACAATAAGCATTCCAACCAACATTGAGTTCTGATTCCATACAAAGTGACAAGTAGGATCTGGGCTTGATTGAGAAAGGAGATCCAGTTAAAGAGGATTACCCAAGGGCTTCCCCAAACAAAGGAGTAAAGGCAACATATATTTTCCCCCTTTGCACCTCAGCTCTGCTGTTAGAAGTTCTCTGTTCTGTCTACCTTTGAATATGTAGAGAACCAAGAAAAACGCTTTGGTAGTATCTCTGTGTCAATAAAGTCTTCACTGTCTC